AGAGCAAAAGTAAGAAACCTTGTGGGTTGAGTTAAGAACAGTGTAATAATTGAAATAATAATAATAAATTGTAACGAAAAGGAAAACGAGAGAGAAAAGCCAGGAAAAACAAGCGATGCAACTGCTTTCCACCTGCCGACAGAAGCCAAGCCAGTCCCCAGGCAGTGATTGCTGCCCCCCAGACAACTCCCCCCAGTTTATATACTGAGCATGGCATTGTATGGTATGGAATACCGCTTTCGCCAGTTTGGATCAGCTGCCTTGGCTGTGCCCCCTCCCAGCTTCTTGTGCAGAGCATGGGAAGCTGAAAAAGTCCTTGACTAGTGTAAGCACTACTTAGCAACAACTAAAACATCAGTGTGTTATCAGCATTATTCTCATACTAAGTCCAAAACACAGCACTGTACCAGCTACTAGGAAGAAAATTAACTCCATCCCAGCTGAAACCAGGACAACATGTAACCTGTTACCTCTTTTTTTCTTTCTAAGGGTAGGTAGGAGTAATTGAAAGAAAAATTGGGGAAGTCTGGCATGTTAGAAGTATTGATCCAGCATCCTTCCTCCTAGTAGACTGTGTGTTTTGAGACATTAAGTAAACTGAAGTGGAAACAATTGTTTCATGGCACTGACTCAGAATTCACCTTCCGTAAAGCTTTAAAGAAGCTGAACTTAGTTTCAGAGAAGATGAGGTGCTACTCCAAGATACTCCACTGAATTATAAGAGAAAAAAACGCTATTGAGAAGCTTATCACTATGAGATGAAGAAAATTGCAAATTAAGTATGTTATGTGTCAAAAGCAACATAAAACTTTTAGGTTCCTTAGACATTTTATAGTGTGTCTACGTTTAATATCAAGATTTCTGGTATGGAATTTTTGAAATACTTAGACAGTAAGTTAAATAAGTAAACTAGTGCACATTGCAGCATGTATTAGGAGCAATGGAGGGTTGGTTGTTTTGGGGTTTTTTTTTAATTTTATGCAGGAATAGCTCCCAGGTTAAGAATGCCCTGGACAATGATAGTACTGACTCAAATGCAGATACTGTTCTGTCCTCTTGGTCAGAAATGACTAAGCCCTAAGGCATCTGCAAAGATATGAAGTACTTTTTTTGACTTTGAAATGAGCAGTTGGCAGTTTGGTTTTGGTTTTTTGGCTTTCAGTGTTTCCCAGGATAGGAAGACTTTCTTTTTTACAGTTGTTTGTACATAATATTACACAAGTTGAACACTTCTTTCATACAAAATCAGTATTTTCAGTCATTTTTACAGATGCATATAAATGATTTTGCTTTCTTGATAGCACTGTAAAGGTAACTTCTGTCTAACTGGGATAACAACTGAGTTCTGCTGCACAGATCTATCTTAACATACTTCTGTCAAATTTATCACAGCCTGGAGAAGGTGCTTTTGTGGGTATCCTTTCTAAAATAGTGACAAGACCACATCAACTTTTCACAATTAAGCAGTGTTCATTACTGACATGTATTTTATTTTCAGAGAAACTGAAAAAGTGGATCAGCAAGCTGTTCCCCAAGTCAATCATGTGGATGCCTGTAAAGAGTGTGTGAAAGCAGAGGTTACAGATACAAAAGAAAGTTATCAAAAATCAGCTGAAATGCTTGGATATGATAAGCATGAAGAGATAAGAAGAGAAAAAGAGGAGGAGGAGCGTTATATCCACAGAAAAGAAACTCTGGAAACTAAAAAGGGAAAGGCTAAGCATGCGTTAACAGAAGCTGATTCATTATTTCCAGACTTAACGAATGCATCCCGATCCCAAGTAGCTCAGCCTCAGCCAGCTGAGAAGAATGGAACGCTTCCTAGTTCATTAAGTATGAGTGCTGGCCTAGTGGAGCAGAATGGTACCAGCTCCTATAAAAGAGGGTTTGTTCCCAGAACAAATCCAGATAAACAGAGTCAAAGAAAAAGTAACATGGCTCAAGTGGAGCACTGGGTAAAAGTCCAAAAAGGAGATACAAAAAGGTTAGTAATAGGCCCATCTTTAAATAGACTGCCAAATGGTGTTTTCTTAAATTAAAGGAAAATATGTAATAGTAATATGTTTAGTGCAAATCAGAATATTTTACATAGAGATATATATATAAAAAATATGGTATATAACAAAACTTACTTTCTCCTCTAGTGTAGAATGTTATTTTTCAGGTGTTTATCTCATGGGAAAGTCAATATGGGATTGGCTAATCAAATCCCTTTAATGTTGTCCCTATATTGCAAATAGAAAAAGTGAGATTAGAGTGCTTGCTTTTTTTACTGTTTTTGATCACTGTGAATGCTTAAAACTTCTTAAAATTTGCTACAGTTGAAGAGCCAGAAAGTGAAGTGCAGCCCTCAGTTACCTCTTATTCATAAACAACTACACAATATACATCATAGCTAATCATTTGTTTTCCACTTAAAAGTAAAGAATGCTGATTTTTCTTTTCTCCCTTCTGTTCCTGTTCCAAACATCCATTCACTCCTCTATATCAGATCACTGCACTCAAAGTCACAGTGTGTGCGTCACATATTGAAAGGTCTCCGTATATTAATTTAGTTAATGAAGAGGTCCTAGGATGTTCCCATGGTCTCCAGGATTCTCTTTTCCCTTTTCAGTCCCTGAAAATTACAAAAATCCTACTAAGAGGCATAATGCACGCTGGAATGCTTTTGTAATTTGAAAATCTCTTAATTGCTTTACTTTCACAGTGTGCAGTCAGATTAGGGACCAGTTCTAAAAATGAAGTGATGTATATATGCATCTGTTCAGAATGCTACCTTGTGTCAAGTGGCAGGAAAGACAGTTGGGCTCTGTGCTGCATGTGAGGATTTTTCAAATATGGGTAACCTACTGAATTAGTACCTTATAAATTTGCTAAAATCTAATTATAATACAGAACAATAGGAGACATTAGCATGTGGCTCTTAGGAGGGGGAAAACATTTTGGGCATTTTTTAACGCTTATTGAAGCTAACATTTGTCATTTTGGATCCAGTAAGAAATTTAAGGCTTGCTAATTCTGTTTAGAAGTCCATTCTTCTACTCTCTTATATTTGGAATTACCCTTAAAGAAGCTTTCATACTTTTTGATTTTATTTAATGTTCTTCTAGACTGCTAGAGTCAATGTGCTTGCATGTTTTTTGCTTGGATATTAATCAGTGCTTCCCAAGAGAATATGACTTTAATAAAAAAAAAGTACTTGGTATGTTAGTTCTTCTTACACGCACAGATATATTATTCTAAAACAATACAGAAAACTATGGAACTAATTAGCCAGTGCTTAAGAAAACTTCTGTTGATGTTTTTCACAGCAGAAGTATAGGCAATGAACAGGCTTGACTGATAGCTAAATAAGTACTGTCTTTTTCCTAATTACTCTTTCCAGTAAATCAGCTTTAGGTATCTGTCAGGTGTAGTGTTAAGATAGTGCTGTTGCAGGTGCCAGCTTCTGTTC